ATACACAAACACACACATTTCTGCCGAACCCTGACACTGACTCACTTAACTCGTTTCCTACCAGGCCAAAATCCACCACTGACCCAGGGCTTTTCCCTGGCCTAAACATCCAACTAAACACACACAAACCATATCATATGGCACATCAAACTGAAGGTAAAAAAATAATCTATCAAATGGTGATACATTATTGAAGATTTATTCCAATTATATTAGTTTGAGGTTTCTAAAAGTGAGTATCGATTATGCAATATCATAGGTGTCCTATGAAACCGACGATTTTCCCGCTTTGAAAGGTCATAACTAAAAAAGTTCAACAACTGCATCATTCAAACTTCCCAGGTAGGTTGTTTCAAGTAACGCCAAGAAATTCCAAAAGTTATGTAAGTGTACCTAATATAGACATGAAAATATGAGACATATACTGAAGTCAGGGGAGCACTTTTCTTTTCATTTTTACGTTTCGAAGGGGACAGAAAAAAAGCGTTCAAATGACTAAAAATCGTCTGTCAGTGCGTTATTTTCTTTCACTTCTGCTAACAGGAAGTTTATTCTATTATTTCGAAAACATGGATCAGCCGAGAATTTTGTGTCTTTTCATTACTGGATTGGAATTGATAGCGAGCCATTCGAGCCGTATTTTGCGACTCTCGGTCCAGCGAGGTCTGGTCCGCGATGAGGCTCGCGGTAGGGAAAGTGTTAAACCCGGAGATTCGGCTGAACCTAGGCACTAATTTAGACTTAACTCAAGAGACGACGAATAATGAATAAGGACGGGGTCACACTGCGCTTAAGAAAATCGAATTCTTACTTGGATAATGGATATCTACTTTCCCGACTCCAAGTATACGTGTTAAACCCTACAACACGTCGTTCTTAAAGTGACTATGTGTTTGAGGGGAAGAAAAGGAAATTTTTTTATGGTACCATGGTGCGTCTCACAGATTGTAAAACATGGGTGACAGCCCATCAGAGGTTGGGATGACGACTCCAGTTTTAGGGATAGATCCTTATTTAGTTATGATCCCGTGGTCCTCTTGGTAAGCTTCGGTTTATCAAAGTATCTAATTTTGCATTTAAATCTGAGGTATGTTTGCTTCCCTTTTGCCTTTGGTGATCCTATGCAAACAGACAGTCAGACAGTCAGACAGACAGGACAGATAGACAGACAGACAGACAGACAGACAGACAGACAGACAGACAGACAGACAGACAGACAGACAGACAGACAGACAGACTCACACACACACACTCACACACACATGCACACACACACGCACACACACACTCACACACGCGCACACACACACACACACACACACACACACACACACGCATCATGTCTTGAAATCATAAGAATTCAGTTGTATGTGAGTGTGTAAGGGGAGGGGGCCCACCACAGAAATATTAAAACAACTTTGAATCAAGGGTTCAGAATTTAACAGCCTCAAACAAACGATTTCGTTTCTTTTTTCTATTATATATTCAATAAACCTGATGTTCATTTTTTTTTTTCAAAGCAAGCAACACAGTGCTTGCTTTCATATGTGCACGCTCACCATAATCACTTATTTTAGTTCTTCTACCAACGAAATCAAAGCGCAGTATTGCAGTTTGTGCCTCATCTACATGCACCCTAAATCCCCAACCAATAACCTTTGCCTCTGGGTCAAACAGCTTTTTGCAAAATCAGGCCATAGGTTGGCAAACTATGGGCTGAAAAAAAGATTACCGACCCCTCAGACGTAATAGATTATTTTTTTGTCTTTGTAATTAACATAGTGCCCTACTAGATATAACCTCGTTGTTGTGGGTTTCGGTAGAAAGTTCAAACAAATAATGATACCGTGTGCCGAAGAGATTGTAAAAGATGGGTAGCGTTCCAAGAGACAAACAACAGTTGTGGTCCCTGGGTTTTTGTTGTTTTTATTTACATCTAGACAGATGGAAGTGGAGGTCCATGATCCTAATTAAGATATTATGATGTCTAATTTCCACTAATTAATCAAAACCTTGCAGCGAAGATCAAATGCATGGTGCCACTCGAGGGTGACTCCAATTACACAGGGTAGAATATTTGATAACTAACAGAAAGTTGCTTAACTCTTCTCAAAGTCTTCCTTGCGGAATGCTTCAGGCTGTCTCAATAGTGATTAACCTTCTCTGTATCCAGATAATGATTTCTGTGTTCTAGCTTTCATCAACGGTAGATCTATTGTCTTACGGTCAGAGGGTGGGGGGTGGGGGTAGCTTCGGGAATTTAGAACATGGTTATGCTAGTAGTCGTGTTAAAATGTCAACAGTAGGAACAAGAACAACAACAAGAACGAGAACAACAACAACAACAACAACAACAACAACAACAACAACAACAACAACAACAACAGCAACACAAACAACAACAAAAACAAAAATAGCTGATGCAAAGCCGATCGGGACCCCTAGAAAACACAAAAGATGAGTACCAATGTATGTTTGTACTTCATTATGGAGTCCATTCTGGTGGTTGTGTTTCTCTATAGTCCACTGGGAGGTACACTATGGCTATCGTGGGTTTTTTTAATGTCCGATCTTCCAATCACAAAGACTAGGGATGCTGGAGAGACAGCCAAAATCGCTTTAAAAAAACAAAAAAACACTACATCTAAATAAGGGCGCGTGGCGGAGCGGTAAGTGCGCTGGCTCCGAAGCGGAAAGTCCGAGT